TCATTAAAAGCTCCGATGTGATGGTAGCTAACAACAGGAGGAAAAATAAACAGAAAAGACCGATGGGATTGGTCAGTCGTTCTGGGGAATATACTTCACCCTGCAATGAGGGGAACATTCACAATCATTCTAATCCAGCTACTCCTCATCAGCAAAATGTAAGGCAGCCTTCCTCCCACTATTCATTCCCAATTCAGAAGTGGAAAAAATCAACTGGAGTGTCTTAAGTGCTGCTGGCATCTGCACTCAGAGGAGGTGGTTTCGCAATTCACTGTCGTTATTCACATTATTGCCACAGAAGAGAAGTACCTTGACCGTCTCTTCCGCCAGCCATCAGCACTCCAGGTACATCTAGAATAAGACTGAGCTGGCTTATTGAAGTGAGAGTAGGATGAGGATACTTGTAGAGGATCAGAGTCAAGTCAGTTGAGAGAGCTTCAATTCTGAATTACTTTCTGTGCATCCGCACAAGTAGCTGTATGACCTAATTCTTTAAGCAAAGTCAGGGATAACTTGGCTCCCTGCTTTTCCAAAGGATAAGAATTAGATTTGTGCTGGTTTTGGCTGGGATAGAGTTAATTTTCTTCCAAGTAGCTGGTATGGAGCTATGTTTTGGATTTGTGCTGAAACGAGTGTTGATAACATAGGGATGTTTTAGTTATCACTGAGCAGGGCTTACCCAGAGTCAAGGCCTCCTCTGCCTCTCACCCCACTCCACCCGTGAGTGGGCTATGGCGTCATGGTCAGCACATACAGCTGGGGGAAGAAGATGGAAGGCGAGCACGTTCAGAGTGATGGCGTTCGTCTTCCCCAGTCACCATTACGTGTGATGGAGCCCTGCTGTCCTGGAGATGGCTGAACACCAGCCTGCCCATGGGCAGTGATGATTGAATCCCTTGTTTTGCTCTGCTTGCGCACGCAGCTTTTGCTTTACCTATTAAAGTGTCGTTATCTCAACCCACGAGTTTTCTCACTTCCGATGCTCTCCCCCTCCCCTCCCACCACGGGGGAGCGAGCGAGCGGCTGGCTGGGGTTAAACCACAAGAAGACTCCAATTACTAATTCCTTTCTCCGCTTTATATTTGTTTACTTATTTTTCCAGGCCACATAAATAAACATTTTGCTGAAGCAGGAGAAAAGTATCTAACTGAGAATATCTTGTGACTCAGGCCACTAGGACATGGAGAAATGGTTATTTTGGTTAGTGACGCAAGTTAAGAGCAGTCTTGGAAATTCTCTGTATCAACAGTAGAAGACCAATGCATGTCTCAAATTCCTGGCAAGCTTTCCATGATGGCTTGTGGTCTGAAATAAGGTGTATCTTATTCATCCAGCAGAGGTAGAAAAGTTTGGAAAACGATCAACTCCTCAGTCTATCCTTAAGAAATGGAATTATATTTGGAAGGAACAGGCTTGAATTAAGCTAAAGCTTACTGCTGATCTATCAAGGCTAGAGCTATTATGTCCACTGCAAAAATAATTTTTAAAAGGTACTAATACCATTAACTATTTGGACAGAGAGATGTATCATTAGTTCTGTAACAGAGACCTCCAACATTTGCCCTAGCTGTTAATGCAGACAGCACAACCAACAAGTTTTAAGAAAGCTTTGAGCAACATCTCTAATAGCTTTTTCTTTTTTAAATAATTACACCGAAAGACAGATTGAATCAAAAACTTAAAAAAAAAAAAACACACAAAAAAAAACACAACCAAAAAACCCCCAAAAAACCCACAAATTTAAGCTGCAAAAGAAGAACAGTCATATCACTGCAAGTTTTACCTCCTAATCTAGCTGAATTTCCAGTACGCTTATTTTGGCACACTGATTTCTTATCCCATGTTCCCCTGGCTTAGCAGACACAGTCTTATCTCTGTCTTTGGATGGCTGAAGTAGAGCCTTTACAGGAAAGATTAACTCGGCTATCTTGCCTTTAAACTTCCGATAAAAGCAAACAACCATTTTATGTGACAGTCCACCTTGGATTTCTATTACTCTGCGCAATTTAAAGAGAAGCAGGCACCTTCTAGGAGGACGCGCCTACCCAGAAGAGATAAGACATATGGACATGCCAGTCCAGGGATGCCTTGGTTCGAGCATGCCACACTAGATCTGTGAATAGATACAGGACTTGGTATTTCTGAGCTGACCAGGCAACCTTTTCATTATAACGCAAAGTGTCTCCAAGAGACACGTGACATACTGCCAGTATGGGACTGAAATCACAGGGAAATAATTAAAAAGGATTGCACTGCTGGGTTTCATAGGTCTCTAAAGATAGTCTCAAGACCAAAGGACAGACTACATATGTGAACTGAGTAGAAAAACCTTCTGTCAAAAAACCAACGATAGAAAGAAATGGAATCTACTGCGAACTCATTTAGCTAAATATATCTGCTTCTTATGGACTGTTGCTCCAGAAATTGTAAGATAAAATAAAACCCGTTTCACTACAGCACATCCCAGATCTAGATTTGCACAGAGGAGACACTCTCAGGATAAAGTTACATATTATGCCTTTAGATGATTTAACATCTAACCATATGCTAATGGGGAAGATCCTTTTCATGCCTCCTCCCCCACAATATGCAGAATACTCCCTTCCTCCCATTTCATCAGTGTTCGCCAAAAACTGTACCAAGCTGAATAAACATGACTTGAATGTGCTAAAATGAACAACTTTCTGCGGGATTAGCAAGTTGAATTAACTCGGTGAAGGGTCAAACAAGTGCCAAAGCAATGGGACTTCAACCCTAAGATACTGAGATGGGTGTTGTGCCTCTCCTCCACCATACAGGTGTGAAAAGACAGTGCAGGCTGGAAGCGGCTGGCGATCCCAGACAACAGAAACTGAAATTGCAGAAGCAACGAAGTAGGAAACCTCAGGCACTGCAGACATCAATAACCTTCCTATGGTTTGGATGCATGCCTCCTTTAAACTTACTGGGCTCCTATGCACTCAAATATCCTCTCTCCCCTCCCTTCCACATTTCTTCACTTGTCACACGTTATCTATCCTCTGAGTTTTACCATCCCCAAATCCTTATTGTCCTTCCTTAGTGTTTCTTCTTCCCCCCTTAAACTCATAATCGCAATAACAACAGCAGCATTAACGTGACACTCATCACCATTGCAACAATCACCGAGCACCCACATCCCACCCCTTTCCCCTTCCTTTTTCCATTTACTTACGCTATCCAGGAGACTGGCAATCGCAACGTTTCTATGCAGTGACAGAGTGCTGCAATAACTACCACAAACGCACACAACTACTAGTAACAGTCTTCTGATTGACCTGACAGAGTCAATGTACAATGTTTTTCCCTCCACATCCAAAGATCTCCCAAACCAACCAACAACCCACCAGCACCACAGCCCCTCTCACAACTTTCCTCCTTCCAACGCTCAAAGCTGCGTGCAGTTCCAATTAACCTCTTCAATGGACTGGAAAACAAACACACTGCTTTTCTACAAGATACTCCATTTCAGCACACAAAGAAAGCAGTAAACTAGTTACGAAAAGGAAACCAATTAGAAAGCAACCTTGCATGCATCAGATCTATTGCAGATAGCGAGTCTCCCCTTTGTACCCCTTGCTTTTGCAGGACTCGGTATGTATTTACCTGTGGTGCAAAAAGTCTGAGCTAACACCTAAAATCCAAGTAGCTAACCCTTTGTATTGCCAAGGGAGACAAACATGGGCTGCGAAAGCACGTGGGCAGAAACGTAAGCTGAACACCGCGGTGATGATGAATAACGCATTCCTGAATGGCAAGGTACAGTGGGATTTTCATAATTTCCTAACATCTCAGCTTCCTTCCCCTGTTGCAGCAAAACAAAATAAAAGGTAGGTGGAACCAAAGTCCTGTTGTTATTAGCATGCAAAGAAAATGAACTTATTTAAATTCACCCATCTGTTCTGGCCAACCATTTATGAGTAATTCTCAATATTTCAGTCACCTGAACAAAAGAGAGTGAGTTCTAGGCACAAACACTTCCTAGCAGTTAATATTCAATATGACAGATGATTAAACCATATAGTGTTTCGTTCTTTCAGTGAGCTTTGTTCCTCGCCTGACTTCCAGGCTGCTTTTTGTCTCCAGCACTTCTCTCCTGTTTCTGACAGATGAATTGGAGGTGGAGAAGAAAAGGGAGGAAAGTTCTTGGGTAGCATAAGGGTTACAGTAATTTCCAATGCTTCAGCAAAGAGCTCGCTCAGGGAACAGATGACCTAATGATGCTACCTGCTCCTCCACCCCACTTTATTTTTTTTTAAAAAAACTTATATTTACAGATGTTTGCAATTATGAAGTTATACAACCCAGGCACAAAGTTTAGTACATTTATCTCCTTTCTGCCCCCAAATCCACAGGGAAGGTACCTCTCACCCACACGTATCTTCTGCCTTTCGTTGTGGCTGTGGGCAATTTAAAGCCGAAAAATGCAATCCAAAGAGATCCTCAATCATGCACCTACAGGTCACTGACATTTGGTTGACACCCAAGCCTGATGTGAGTGTAGATGCCACTCACCAAAAGGACACTTATGCCATTGATAGCAAGTTGTCCCAACTCCCAGAATTAAACAACAGTACTAGCGCAGGGACAAACTTACTTTCAAAGCATTCTTCCTGTTTACCTGCCCTTGTTGAAAACAAAGGGAGAACTGTCCTCACATGGCTCTACTTATGTTTCCTTTTAGCTTTCTGAAAGGAGAGCTGTTTAAGATCTTGCATTTTGTTTTCAATTGGAAAGGTCACCTGGATTGGGTGGCAAAACAAGTCTGTACACTTTTTTTAATAAGGAGAAAGGGAAAGAAACGGGACATGAGGAAGGAGGGAAAGGAAAGTTTATTGCGTCTTCATTTTTAAATTAGAAAAAGTCTCAGAGAATTTATGGAAAAAGTATAATTAGTGAAAGAACAACACTCGAAGAGCCTACAGTATCTAATTCTCTCTTGACCACTAGAAAACGCAAAAAGGAAAGCGATGACTACTTACATATAATATGTAGGATATAATCCTTCAAAGTACCAGCAATGCTTTTTGGCCTCTGTACACTACAAAGAAAAAAAAAAAGAGGTATTAATATTTACATAGGACAATGTACAATTATAAACACAAGCACAGAGCATTTATAAATACTGTGACTTTGAGCAATTCGGAAAGGTTTATATTCCCAAAGATTTCCCCATCCCGATACGCACAGCAAGCGAGAAGTCAGTTCATGTGACTGGTAGCGTGCCCTGCCAAGGGTTCGGATCCCCCACGCAGGGCTTTGTCTGTGGGACCCCATAGCTTCCCACAATTCACGAACAAAGCCAGTACTTTGGGTGCAGGCACAGGACCCAGCTGCATGTGTTCCCTGCCAGAACTGCTGTCCTAAAAGACCACAGAGACCTTAAGAGCCCATTCGTGGTTATAGTCACTTAAGAGACCTCCAAGGCTTAACCACTTTGATGACACTATGCGTATGACTACACAGTAAATTCAATAATTGCAGGGAATTATGCATCTTTCTGGAAGTCTCTGGCGTGCAAAGCCAGGCTCGGAAAGAAGCCGAACGAAGAACCCAGCCATCCCACCTCCTTTTCCTACAGCTTGGAAATATCTCAAGCGTTCATTAAAATACCGGGGAAAGGAAACTGCTTTCTGCAGCCCAGGGGTATTGTTCTCTTTTGCAGATTGCCAGCATATCCTTGTTAAAGGACCGCAACAGGCATTTGCTCAGCATGTGTGTGTGCCGGCAACGTGGGAAGCGCACATTGTTACGGGCACTGCCAGAGCACAGACGGCAGCTCAGAACAATAGCGGCGCTTAAAAAAGAAAACCAGATGTCAAGCCCAAACTCTACATACAACGCATAAAATATTTCTGCGTTATCCCGCTGACATCGCTAGCATAAAATGCCGCCTTCGTGGCAGACATAGCTCCGGGAGCTCCACGGCAAGCTGCATTATCCGATCACACACGGCCAGGGTGTTGGGGGACACTCTCCGCAGAGCGGAGAGGAATATCTTGCTGGACTTCTAGCCGTAATTCCCTCTGCTGCTCACACCTGACACCCGATGTCGGCGAGCACTCAGCACGCCGGCGGGGCTTGGATCATCCTTCATGTTCACTTGGCAGCTCACCTTTAAATAATAGCTCGTATAAGTTTATTAGCCTCCACGAATCCCAGAATACTAAATGAATCCAGTTAAGACAAAGACAAAGTGTTTTTAGATCCCCAACTCTCACTCTTCATGAATAAGAAAGGTTGCAAGCTCTTTAATGAGCATCTGATGAGCTAAATCACAGACAGATCAATTAGAGCCCATGAAGACAAACTGCTATGGATTAAATTGTTAAGAGTGGTATAGGAGGAGGGGGAAGGAAGAGGAGGAGAAGATGCTTTCGAAGCGTGCGATCAGGCCTTTGCAATAACACAACAGGCTCACATCAGTCTGCAAGATGCACAAGCGGTAGCTTCTGTTGAAAGGACCGGAGCTTTTTGCTTGGGATAAACACAGCAGAAGCCTCATCCCCCTCTCAAATTGATGCCGCAGCCCTGGCAGTATATGTGGGAGGGCTCCGTAGCAGCCGCTGGAGCAAGGGGTGTTCAAAGATTCATCTCCACATTTGCTTTATTCCCCCTTTCCTCCCACCTCCTTCAAAGCTTCCAACTTCTTAACCCTTCCATCTGAATATTTTCATCAGCTGGCTGTTTCTTCTTACTCTAAAAGTAGATACATGCCAAGTTTCTCTCCATAACACCCTGCAAACATATATGCATTGTAAACCCAGCAGGTCTGCGGCCAAGTCAGTGAAAAATACTTTAGCTCTTCACCTTTGAAGGCTGCAGATCAGCAGGCCCTGGCTAAAATCCCGGTACCTGTCAGTCAGCCCCTTGGGAAGTCTCATTTCAGAGTCCAGCTTCGGATGTACGTCGTTAAATGTTTTTCCTTCCTGCTTCTCAACCAACATGAGTCACCATTTACCTCAACGGTCTTAAAGCCTTCATCAGTCTCCAGCATTTTAATTGATGCTTTCCCAGCAACGTTTCCGAGCACGTGGAGCCTGCATACCCTTTACAAGTGTAAGGCAGACATTTATATTCAGCACTCATTCTGCTCACCCTTCTCCCTGTTATTTTAATCTGCTTTACAAGTTCTAAAACGAGTTGGGAAGATTCCTCCTTCCCACATCTCTCAAGTTGTAGGATTTCTGTTTCTGCCTCTTAACAACTCTCCGTTTCAGACACCCAATATGCTTACTGCTGTCATAAGAAAGGCTCCAGCCTGGGGGAGTTTTGCAACTAACAGTTCCTTCTAGCTTACAGGGCTTGGATACCTGCACTAAAAATCCTTCGGTGCCCAGACTTTGCTTTTATATGCGTCCTGGAACAGCAGGTACCAGTCCCGATTCTGCCTGGCAGTTGTTCAGCTCTCTTACATGGGAATCGGGCAAACAAGCAAGCAGACCTCAGATGTCAGCAGCACAGCCGAATGCGATACACAGGACACGTCAAACAGATTTACACAGACAGGC